TATATATATATGTATATATAAATATTATTTGAACAGAATTTATTAAATCGCATCTAGTATTTTATCAACAGCAACAAAATAAACGCAGCAACAGTTTGAAATGCTGCGCAGCAAAACACAATTTAATTTGATTTTTGTTTATGTTCGTTCTTTGTTTTGTTTTGTTTTTTTCTTAACTAGAGCTATCAACAAAATTGTTAAAAAGATTTTCTGCATTTTTTGTTTGTTGCAATTTCTAGCACACTTAAATAAATTGAGTTATAATTGTTATTTTTTTTCTTTCTTCATTGTAATTCTATTTTTCATTTCATTTTAGACGTGTGATTGTTTGCGTGGTAGTATGTGTGTGTGTAAAACAATGTGAAAAATAAAATTTGTAAAGAAATTTATAATCGACTGTTTAACGATAACGATAACGATACTTTTTTTGTTTTGTTTTTTGAACTAATTACAATGCCTTGCCCTAAACGGAATGTTTTAGTGCTACATTTCCAAGTCGAACACAAACTGTTCTCTCCCATTCTTTCTCCATCTCCCTCTCTCTTTTATATATATGTGTGTGTGGGTGTTTCATGCCACTCTCTGTTCATGCTTTACATTCCTCAAAAGAAACACTTAAGTTGAAATACCTTGAAAGTCGTACGTTGGAACATATATATGTATATATATATGTGAGTATATATGTGTACATATATATTATATATATAAAATGTAATGCGAACCTATATATATGTATATATCGTGCTCATTATGTCGATGAACAAAACGATTTATAAATTTAACGTTAACGGACTTAATTCTGTTATATATATATACACATATATATCAAATCGTAATAGTGGGTTTAAGTTGTGTGTATGTGTGTGTGTATTTCCGTGCGTGCGTGTGTATGGGTGTGCAAAAAAAAAAGAAGACGAAGAAGCATTTAAGAGCCTTTACACAAAACCGGTGCGTGACGCATTGCGCTGGTCCCAGCCTAAAACTGAACCCAATTGGCATTTGCCGAATTCTGTTGACCTTGATTGCCGCTGGAAAGAAGAGGAGAGTAATGAAATAGCTGAATGCAATTTGGGTGTATCATGGTGCTGGCAGCTTACCCAGCGGATGCGTAATCGGTCCATTCCGTTCCGGCGCCGCCGCCGCCGCTCGTCCTGTGTGCCGGCGACGCGGCCGGACTCTGGCGCAGTGTCGCTGCAGCCGGCGCAGCCGGCGGTGGTGCGATCTTGGCTAAGCCACCAGGTGGCGGTGGCAGCACACCACCAGTACTCTTGCCCTTGCCAGTACGCGAGCTGCCCTCCGAGCCATCCTTTTTCTGTAAGTAAAGCAAAGCAAGTGGAGATTGGGTCAGATATGAGTGAACTTAATATTTGATCATAAATATCGGTAGCAGAAGGTCAAATATAATATAGATTATACTGAGAAATCACTATTATATTCTATTAAACACTTAACACTTATTACTATATATGAAGAAGAAGATCCGAAGATCAGAAAGTCAAGTGTTGAAAGTGTTATAGATATTATAATACAAGATATATAGCTACAAGATAAACGAGAACAGTTAAACTCAACCTACATATATCTCCAATAATTTCGGATGTATGATACTATAAATGGATCAATCAGAATAAGAATTTGCAGCATTTAAAATTCAAAATTTGCTTCTCTGCAAAGATATACGATGACCACGACATTCATTCATATGCTTGGATGAAATACATACATATATCCCAATTCTTACATTATTGCCATTCTTAACAACTGTATTGGGAAGACATTCAGCCATCCAATAGCTTCATTTATATACAATATTATCGTTTTTTTTTTTTGAAGGTTGTAAAGCACTAACTAAAAAGTTGAGTGCGTGATCTCGTCTTGTCGGTTAGTCAAAAATTTTACTGAGCTGCTATCTATCTATTCATTCATCTATGCAGTATCCTCATATATTATCGCCGTTTCTCAAAGCAGCTATAAATATCGGATAAGTATCTCAAATTCATCCAACTAAAGAGCTGATTACGCGGTATTTGCTAGTCGGCTACACATATAAGTCGAACATTTTGCATAGCATTTTTAGTGGTGATTCATGTGATTCTTCAAATCACTTACCGTTATCCGCATGTTGATTTTAATGGTCTCGCCCTCCTTGAAGCCCAGATCCAGCTCCTGTTTGGGTTCGGTTTTCTCCTTTTCGATTTGCTCCTGATTTTTTACCCATTTGAAGTGATCCTGTAACGCCACATTCAAATCGAACGAATCGGAACGATCACCAAAGCCCAAACCCAAGAACGCCGATCGACCATTGTCGTCCTGGACGCGTATAACAAAGTAGCGTGAGCTGTCCGAGACCGCTTCGATGGCTACGCCGGGATATGTATCGATGGGGCAATTGGCAAACAGAGCGCCGCTCGTCTTATCCTCCAGCTTCAGTATGCAGGCGGTGCCCTTGGCCACCAAGCGCATTCGTCCGGTCCAGGTGGGCTCTTTGAGGTTCCAGTCCGCTGCTCTGTGGGTTTGAAGAGTTTTTTTTTTTGTTTTTATTTTTTTACTTTTTATTTTGCCTCGTTCCGTTAATAAACATTGTTTACTTGAATGGCATGTGCATCTATATGTATGTATGCATGTGTGCATGTATGTATTTTGTATTTTGTATGTTTCAGCTTAGTGAACGCTTTAAGCGAAAACAAAGAAAGTCAACAAAAGTAACAACAAAAACAATTATACATATACAAAAGCTTTGGCCACATACACACGCACACACATCTGCATACATACATATAGATAGACGAGCGCGCACGCAAATGCATATACATACAAACATTTCACTTGCAAGTGAAATGTACAGCAATTAAGAGAAACTGCAAACTGGCCGCTCAAATAAAAAAAAAAAAAAAAACACACACACAACTGCATACAAAAACAACAAATTAAAAAAATAAAAAAATCAATTGATATTGAACTTCAAAGGAGGCACCAGCAATCAACAACAATAGTCAATGGTTTTTCTTAACCTTGGCTATATTGCTTTTGCTGTGTCTCTTTGCCACATATTTCAATCTCTTTTCCGTGCCTTGCGCATTTTTAACATAATTTATGCATTTCTCACGCGCGCATACACAGCCACAAACAATATGTATACACGGTGTGCGTATGTGTGGTATGTGGGGGCGTCTCTGCATGAAATCACGAAACTTTCAATTGCACCAGAGAACATAGCAACAACAACTAAGCAAAATTTTGTGTTTTTTTCTTGCAGCAGAATTTCTTGTATAGTAGATGATATCTCACCTGTATCCTCTGTTGCTAGCGCGTGGCGGTATTTTATATATAAATACCTCGGGCTTTACAATCAGCACACTTTCATACTCCATGTTTTATTATTATTTTTGAATTAATACTATTGTTTATTATCCTGCCTACGAGTTCCGTTTATAACTTTAAGCTTACAACTACATATACTGTGGAGCTGTCAAACAATCGATGCCAAATATCGATAATGGGGCTAATCGGGGGCCTCCACAAAAATATGTTTTGAAACTAAATCGGTTAGTATTTTTTTGATATATCTACCAGAAGAATATATCGCGGATGATATTATAGCCTTTACCTTTATGATGTTGATTTTCTGATTTCTAGCGATAGAGCTTATCTTACTTAGCTGTTTATTAAATATACACAATTTAAATATGTTGACAACGCACGCGCGGCACGATGACAATGTTTCGTGGAGTATCGATACTGTTTGAAAATACATTTTCTAGAATTTTTGAGTTGAGGACGCGTATTTTATGTAGATTTATGATAGCTGATCAAAGTTTTAATTAATTTTTAATTAGACATGCAATTTTTAGATGTTGATAATGACCTCACTGTACGATTACGAAAAACAATCGATATAAATTACCAACCGATATAAGTTCAGTGCGATTCCCTTTTTTTTCCTTTTCTTGTGAGAATAGTTTTTTTTTTTGCTGTTATACAATTCATATTTATCAATTCTTCTTCATATATATTAAGTGGTGAAATGAAATAATTATCAGAGAAGTATCGATAGCATAGTTTCAGTTAATTTTATCGCAAAATATCGATGCTTCAATGAAATATTTCGCTATATCGATAAGTAATATCAGCCTTAGATGACCGCACGTTGTTCTTCTGCAGGCCTTAGTCTACAATAAAGCGAAATGGCACCGGGTGTGCAAATTACAAGCGACAGCGACTTGGATGCGGTATTGGAGGAGTTTAAGATTAAACAGGCTCGTCGCAACAGCACCGGTCCCAAGTACACATGCAGCATAAGCGGTTGCAATGAGAGCTTCAAGCGTCTGGACCAATTGGATCGCCATGAATACCACCATACTGGTATTGTAAGTACAAAAGACCCAAAAATACTTGTCGTTCAATTTATAACAGTTTAGCTCTTATTGTAGAAGAAGCACGCTTGTAGCTACGAAGGCTGTGATAAGACTTATTCAATAGTCACCCACTTGAAGCGTCATCTGCGCAGCACACACGAGCGTCCTGAGGAGCCGCAGAAAACAGTAAAATGCAGCTTGCCACAGTGCGACAAGATGTTCATATCGACTAGCAACATGACGCGCCATTTGCGCGAGGCACATGAGTGTCCGCGCGAGTACGAGTGCCGCTTCTGCTCGCTCAAGTTCAGGCAAAAAATGAAGTTGCGCCGCCACGAGATCGTACGTCACACACAGCAATTTCCGTTTCGTTGTGAGAAATGCCAGCGCGGCTTCTATCAGCAGTGGCAGCAGGAGAGTCACCAGCGTAGCTGCAGACTCTACTCTTGCCCCCAATGCGAACAACAGTTCGAGAAATGGACGCTATACACAAAGCATTGTCGCGAAACACTACACGGACGCGAGCGCCATAAGTGCGAGCACTGCGACAAAAACTACGACAAACCTAGTGCCTTAAGTGCTCACATTGCTGCCAAACATCCAGCAAATGCGGAATCAACATTCTCATGCACCGAGCCTGGCTGCAATCGCAGCTATTCGTATGAGCGTAATTTGCGTCAGCATATCCTGACCAGTCACACGGGCAGGCGCTTTGAGTGCCTGGCCGTTAATTGCCAGCGCTGTTTTAGCAGTGCCCAAAATCTAAGCAAACATTTGCAGCGCGATCACACAGCCAAAGAGCGCCAGCCAGCTAAAAAGAAGCAAACGCTAGACACAAACGCAAATGGAGTCCCGGCAACAACGCGCAAGCGTCGCCGTGATGCGGGCAAATCCGCCCGATCGCAGCTCTCTAAACTTGCTTGCGTGGTGCTCGACAAGGAGGTTGATAAGCAGGTGCGCCTCCGCCAACCATCGGTGCTAACGAGCGTGGCCAAGGAGCTGCAAGAGAAACAAGACGAAGAAATGGAATTAGAGCGGTTGCTGGAACATACGCTTGAAGACGTCTGCTAAATAAACCACAATGAGGCAACAACAACTTGAATTCAAAAAATGAAAGCCTGAATATATATAAGTAGATTTATATATGCATATTATAGTGGAATTCCTTTTATGCTTGGCGCCTTCAATTCATAGTCTATAATTTATATAATATATAATATATAAGTTTGTTTGTTTGTTTTTTGTTCATATATCGGCTTACTTAAAAAGGCATTCTTTATTTGCGATCTTTCATCTTTCCACATCTTTCCATGAAGAGTTTAACAAATATTCTTAAGCTTTCTTGAAGAAGATTTAATATTTTAGCCTCTCTAATCTTTGCAACTGCCTAGATTATTCGAATATAAAAATTTAATTTTGACAATTTGATATTCTATAATTCCATAATTTTATATATATTACAAATTTTTCTAGTCAACAAATAAGCTATGAAATAAATTCGGCTCTAGATCTACTATATTAGGCTATAAAATGGAGACAACTAAAAAGAATTGAAGTCAGTTTGAGTTATTTTATTTCCAAAGAAAAATATTGAAAATGAATAAATCAAAATCTAAAAATAAAACAAAAACGAATAACGAATTTTTGTTAATTTGATTGCCACCGATTTATTCCTCGGACTACATAGATCAGCGAGAAAGATACACTATAAACTTTACTATAAATCATAAAAGTTTCTTTGCAAAATTTGTTTATGAATTATTATCTTAATTGCTTTAAGTTGATCTATCTTCTATATCGAAGCATCATAACAGGTGCATTGCAAAAATGTTTTCATATACATTTCGACATTAATTGCTTGAAATTGATCTATGCTCTATATACAAAATCGAATCAGATTTCCAAGTACTAGTTAAAGTCAGTTTCATTTGCATTTTTATTAATAAACGAACGTTTTTGAAAACAACTTCAAATCCGTTTTATGTGGATGAGGCTGTGTACAAGGGCGCAGGCTGTGTATGTGAGTGTGTGTGTATCTGAGTCTCTACAACGAATTGATGACCTTTCGACTGCGCATCTGCTCCAGCCATTGCTCCAACTGCTGCTCAGGTGTCTGTGGCTCGGGTAGGTAGTAGTGCTGCGGTGGTTCGCCCTCCTCTAGCCGTAGGAAGTAGTGACAGTGCTTGTACTCAACGCGTCCAAAGCGACCGCGTGCATGTCGTCGCATTCCCTTGAAAACACGTCCTTTACCCACAAAGGATTCAGCTGGTGTGCACGAGTGGAATTGAAATTATTAAAGGCCCATATGGTTAGCACTCATATTTATTTACCAATCCACAAATTGCTCTTATACTCAACATTGTGCCGCTCAACGGCCATTTGCTGAGCCTCCAGTATCGTCTCCCTGACATCTGTGGCGCCCTTTTTGAGCACAAAATTCAGTTGCTTGAGCGCCTCGTCTACGGACATGCCGCGCACAAAGGCCGCTATATACCACATCTTGTCCGGACTATATTTGATGTTGCTGCGCATATGGCACACATACTATATATTAATAAATGATTTTAATA